TAACTCTTATGTTTTGTCTGATGCCTGGTTTTGCATACAACGTCTAATGATTCAGTCAGCTTCCTGAGATCTGTGCTCCTCTGCTCTTGAGAAGGGGGGATGAAATTTGAGGCAGCATTATCTCTCAATAATGATATATTTTTTCTGTCTGGCTCTTGAGGTTAGTAGGAACATCTGTGGCTGTCGGTGCATTTTAAAATTAACAGAAAAAGCTAGTACTGTAGTTGCTGGTTTTTATTAATTACTCTCTTTAGTCATCCTAAGTCTCTGTTTTCACGTGCAGCATTCCACTGGCTTGCTTGCTTCACTTGGAGTGCAAAATACTTCTTGTTGTGTTTGAGAGCGTGTGTTGCACAGGGAAGGTGGGTAAAGATCAAACATATGATTATACAGACTAATCGTGTGATGTGTGAGAAGGAAATGGTTGCTAGTGATTGATCTTTCTTGTATGTTCTTTTTTTTCCTAAAGCTGCAATAAAATACAGGCGGTGTTTATGTGCTCAGAAAAAGTCAACTACAGCTCCTTTCCCACGTCTGTCCGTGTGACATCACTTTTGCCCTTACATTTCTTATGCTGCTCAGACTGAAACACCTGGCACAACTGCCTGTAATGATGGCCTTATGCTGTAGCATTTCCCAGGCTTTTTTCAGGACTTACTGTGTATTTGTAAAACAGTAAGTATACAGTATATGAATTGTGAAGGTAAAAAAATGGCAGATGTCAAAGACTATAAAGAGCTAAGAGTCCTAAAGAATACTGGCTTATTTGTCATAACACAGCTTTGCGAAGTACACTGTAAAACTTCTGAACTCTGCTACAAATTCCACTTTTCACCCACACTAAGATGCTAATGATGAAAACTAGGAAAGTAGAACATTGTATGTTTAAATTGAACCATACTGGATGTTATTGTTAAGCTATGCATAAAGCCAAGGGAGTAGAAACAGAAAATATGTTATTTTCAGTGAATCAATTTGCATTGAATCAGTCACCTCAGTATCTTGGCTGTGTGCTACCTCCTCGTTTTCAGTGTCTTTTAACATTATACTTAGTGTTTTTATATTTTAGGGGATAGAGGATATGTTTATTTTGCAAGCCGAACTTTCTGACTTTGCTGTTCAGGGTAGCTTCTCGAATTATACTATTCTTCAGTAATTTAGTTGATGTTGCTGTATTGTTCTTCTATATCTGGTGCATTCTTTATCAGACACACTGTAACTTTGTGGAATCGCTATAGGAACTGCAGCTGAAGTACAAAAACTAAGAAGGATATGAATGGGGAAAAGATGTCTCTTCCTCTCTAGTTTGCATACCTGTTCTCATGCTTATTCTTTTTTCTGCCCTGAAAACCCAAAACTTAAGTATATTTTGTGTTGTATTCTCCTCTCAATTCAGTGCTAAGGGTCCTACACCTGCTGTTGGCTTAAAGGTAACTGCTGGTTTAAACAGTCCAAGAAGTTCACACCTGAAACATTTTTTTTTTTTTTTTTTTTCCTCCTGCTGACCCTCTGGCTTTTTGTGTGGCTGTGGATGTTCTAAACACTGGAAAATGGGTGCCCCTTGGAAATGGAGTGAAACCAGCCATAGTTACGGGTGCCTTGCTTCACCTGTTGTGCATGTCTCAAGGTGGCATTCAAGCCTCACTCTCTTACAGTAATGTAAAATGGAAGGTTTTCTGGTTTTCTTTTTTTATATACTGTTTGCTTTGAGCTTTTTCAAATTCATTCTGGCAGTACTTAGGAGGAAAATTTTGATCACAAGTTGCAGGTCAGGTGCCAAATACTTGGGAGAGGATAGGAAAGTAAAGGATAAATATTTTAATAATCTCTGTAACTAATCTTGAACTTTGTTGGGCTTGTTTTCCAGTTGTTTGAGATTTTTAGCATGGTCGATGGTGTCTTTGCTGTTCCTTTGCACGTTATCTTGAATAGAGAGAGTAAGGTAGGTTGCTGATGTTGTTTGGTTGCTTTAAAGATAAAGAAAAACATTTTTTAAAAAGATAGTTTGATTCTTGGACTCGCATTGTAGCATTTTATAACAACAGCAGTGAGGGTGAATTGCATTTAGAATTAGAATTTTAAGTAAAACTGAAAGCAGTGACCCAAGAGCCACCCCTGTTGACTTTCTCATTTTGCAGCTTTTTCTAATGGTCTTTTGTGTGAGGAGAGGCCAGGATACCCATTTAATTACACAGGTGAGCAAAGAAATAAGTTGTTAAAAATTTGCCTCTTAGTATGCGTTTACGGGAGACAGAGTGTCTAACTAAGAGGTGTAAAGACACCTTCAGGCAAATACTACATTATTGTGGTGTGGTTTTATGTCAGGAACTAAACTATGCTGAATTCAAAAGGTCATACTTTATTTATGTTGAAACAAACTAAAGTCTCTTTCCTTGTAGGGGATGAGACATTGACTGCTTCTGAGAAACATTAAAACTTGAGATCTGCACTTGGCTGGGGTCTTTTCTCCTACCTCTCTAAATTGTGAGAAGAGAAAGCTTCAGCTCTTAGACAAGTTGCAGGTATTATTAAAGAGCACTGTCACCGCTGTTGTTTGTTCTTGCTTTTTGATTCCAGAGGAGTCATAAGCCTGCCACACTTAATTGCTCCGCTGGTCTTTGATGTGTGCCCTTGTAGGCTGGCCCGTATTTTAATGAGCTTGTAGGCTTTCTGTTGTTGGTTCTGCCATTGTGGGCTTTCTGATTCAGGTAAAATGATCGGTGCGGTAATCTGCAAGTGATAGCAAGGAACAGAGGAAATAAAATGCATGCAAAGCAAAGTATGGGGATATGGAAGTTTTCGTTAACTTCAGGCAATATTTTAGCATTTTCTGTGTTTTAAGATGGTGGTTTTGCACCTCGGCTATTTGAGCATTAATCTGATGAACCTCTGTGGCTGATTCCAGCACAGCTGGGTAATTGAGCCCTCCCTTCTGATACATCACTAATGAAAAAAAGCTTCTTGCCGTAGTCTACTACATTGTCCCCTTTCCTGTGCTCTCTTATCTTGTGTAATTTCAGTAACAGTTTTGCTCAATGTAAGGTTGGCAAAGTTGGGCTAATCGGGACCTTCTGCTGTTGCAATTCTGTATTGTGAAACTACTGTAGGGGTTAGGCTAAGCCAGCTGTGCTCCAGGATCAAGTGTGGTCTCTGTTTACACCACGCTGCTAAAAAAAGGAGTATGCAAAAGAACAGCATGCTTAAGTTAACGTTAGTGAAAGGTGTCAGATTGAAAGACTTTGGAAATAGATGGAATTAACACTTCAAGGCAGACGCACTATACCAAAACAAATTGCTGAATTGATCCTTGCCTAGATGATCTTTACAGCTGCTTGTGATCAAAGCCCACTCTTCTACTCATAGTGTCTTAGTGCGGCAGATGAGTTTGCACTGTTGAATGAAAACAGTAAAGCCAAAGGGATATTAAGTGTTTGAAGCTTATTTTTATTCTGTGTTTTGATATATTTGATTTAGTGATTTTCAGATGATCTGTCTGATATATAGATGGTGCAATAGGGAACTCCTATAGAAATGTTTTAATATGAATTCTTTAAACAAAAGTATCTTTAAAAATGAGAACTCTGCCCTGCCTTTAAGACATACGCGAGTAGTACCAGGTAGACACACACAGTGAGTAAAACTTCTCAAAATATCTCAATTTCTCAGCCAGTAATTCTCATTGAAAGCCAGTGGATCTTAAAATATTTTTGAAAAGGTTATCTAAATACCTTACATGCTTGTGAAAATTAAGCCTGATGATGATAGGTCTGTTGTTATTCATGAACAACCCACATCTGTTCTTCCTCTTACCCACTGCTTCAGTTGTCCAGTGAAACATGGAAGCAACTCGATTGGTAAAGTAATCAGGTTAAAAATAACCCAGAGGGGGAAAAAAAATTATTGTCCTCCTGGCAGATTTCACATCATATTGGTGGCTGTGGAGAGAAGGGTATTGATAGAAATAAAAGCAGGCTTTGCTATTTTGGGTGCATTGTTCTTGGTTCAGCAAGGAATGCAATGAGCTGTGCTTGTGGATATGCCAGGTTTCTCCATTGTTTGGCTGCTCTGTTGGAAGCCAGGTTGGGACAGTGCTCGACAGTGCTCCACCAAATGGAGGGCAAAACTTGAGGCTGAAAAAGCACTTGGGTTTGGTCATGCTTGGGAGTGCATAAAGACCTGAGCCATTGTGATAAGGGTATATTTGGGTTTCTGGGAAATTTAATCACCCATTTTTATCACGGCAGTCTGTTTTGAGCCATGGATTCTGAGAATCTGTGCTGTAGAGTTCAAGGTGTGCAGCTGAACTTCACCTTTTGTTCCTTTCTTCAAATGCCTCTCAGTGCCAGTTCCAGCTTTTTAAAATGCTCCGTTGGCTCTGATTCTCAGTACTGATCCAGCCCACGCTGTTCTTCCTGCTTCTTGGAAGTCTTGTCTTTTATTGTTCCTTACGGTACAGAAGATTCAGCACAGATTCATAAAATGCTGTATGTCCCAAGGTTTTAGAGCATCCTTACCGCAAAATATCAAGAGTTAGATCTAACTCTTGTTTTAGGGGAAGAGAATGTGACTGCAGCATACAGCGATAGCTACAAAAGTAGTTTTTGCATGAACATAGGTGACGGCAGACAGATTATCTGAAGAAAGTAAAAGGACTTTGTAGTTCTGGCCTTAATACGGGTCCTTTGTCAGCAGGTGTAGTGTGTGTTCCAAGGGCCTGTTTTGTGCTATGTGTATAAAATGGTGCCTGACATAGTCGTGAAATGCTAGAAAAAGATTTATTAACTTCACTTTGGTGACCTATGGAAACCAATGCTCTGAGTAGCGTGCTTCTTAGCAAAGTCAAAGCAGGACCATGAGCGTACTCTGACAGAAGAGTTGTAACTTGGTTATGCTGTCAGATGTGTTACTTTTTATAACTAGTCAGCAGGTTTCTGAGAAGAAACGTTTGAGCATTTTAGCATGAAGTTTTATATAAGTATTTTTATGATTTTTGTTTTTCAGGAGTTTATAACATATTTAATCTCATTCATGAATCGAACTTCCTTTTTAAGTCATGGATGACAAGGCTTCTGTTGGAAAAATCAGTGTCTCTTCAGACTCGGTATCCACTCTTAACAGTGAAGATTTTGTCTTGGTTTCCAGGCAAGGGGATGAAACACCATCTACAAATAATGGTAGTGATGATGAAAAAACAGGACTGAAGGTAAGAATCAATAACATGAGTTTGTTCCCTATGCTTCTAAGTCAAACTAACCATAGAGAGCTTAAAGAGGAACTTCTTTATTGTGGAAAACTTGACAGAAGGGAGAACCGATTCAAGAATCGATTTGCCAGTAATTTCTGCATTACTGTTGTTGATGTCAGAGGTGGTAATTAGGTTTTGAGTAACAGCTCTCTCCATCACTACCTGTGGGTTTTTTCCCACTCTGCAGAATCCTTCATGAAGTGCTTAGGATGAAACAGACTGACTGTCAAGAACTTGGAACTGTGATTTTATCACAGCTTTCAGATAGAAAGCAATATTAACATATACTTGATTTGACTATATCTGTTAATTCAAACATATATTAAAGTTTTCCCCAATGTGAAATGTTCTCTTTAAGAAATGTAGAAGTGTAGTTATCACTAACAACTTGGCGTGAATCTGAGAGTGCAAGCCTATGTGGTAGGCTTCTGTGAATTGGAAGGGCATTGACATCTTCTCACTTTTAAAAGTGCTGTTCTGAAAAGAGACCCTTGTCACACTCTCCTTTTTTTTTTTCTTTTTTTTTTTTTGGCTACCTAAAATCTTTCATCCCGATTTGTATTTCAGAAGTCTTTAAGCAAAGTGACGCCAGTAAGGTGGTCACTCCAACTTCTGTCATTTTAATGTGTTGAAAACTGGATCTTTCCTAGATTGAGTCAAGCTAGTGTGTTCTTTGTGGGAGATGGAAAGAGATATTCCACCATCGCAAGAGATTGACGTCTACAGTCACATCTATGTCTTCAAAATAATGTCTTTAAAGATGATAAGAAATCACGTGTTCTGCCTGTTGGACTGAGTGTTCCTCTTTTCCTTAGCAGCAGTTGTAACAGAGACTTTATCAAACGTTTCTTGATGCTTTTGCTCATCTTGCTTTTACCTCCTAACTGCTTGCTTTGTTTTTCTTGCCTTCCTTTGAGTCCTGGACAAGACATGCCATTACAGTGGCTATTTTCTTTTATGTAGGAATTCAAGCTAATTATGTTAGTTAAGAGTCTCAAGATCTTACTTTTGCTTAGTCTGGCAAAAATGTTTGCTTTTATTTTATTGCTGTTGTGGAAGCTTGCTGCTTCGCATCATAGGATAGTCTAAAAAATTTTGAATTTTTCTTAAAACAATCAGCCTGGTGATCTATGAAACCTGCTGAAAGGCTGTAACCTCATACTTGTCTTTCTAGATACTGCAAATACCAGCAGCTATAAATGCATAAGAGTTCAGAATAGTCTCCATTGTGGTGCTTACCTTGAGAATGCTTATGTGGCGGTGTATGTAATTAGCTCCCAGAGCTGAGATGCATTATCTGAGACCCCAGGAGACAGACACAGACAAACCAGATTTTCCGTTCCATCCTGTTTATTCCCAAAGAAATTTGGAAACATGAAATGCTGTAGTCCGCAACACTTCTTGCTCCACATGGGAGCGATTTGTATTGCTGATCTAACGATTGCCTTGTGGCTGTCCTGCAGTGTTTGTATGACAGACTCTTACCTTGTTTCGTGCAATCAGAGAGATTGAAGAGAATTGTCTATAAATTCATCTTCATAACACTTGCAAATATTTCAGAGAAGAATATCCATAATCAATTTCAAACTGACTCCTGAAACTTACTTCTTCAATTTTCCTCATGTGTTTACTTCCAAAGTGGTTTATAAAATGCTGGCTACAGGTCTGTTGTTTCTCTTGATGAGGAAAGAACAACATCAGCACTGCTGCCTCCTGATCATCACAACTGTAAAATAAAGTTATGCTGTTCCCTGGTTTGGCACTGAATGCCACAGAGCTTTGCAGGTCTTAAAGATAAGCTTCTTTTTGAATTTGGTGCCAAGACTGAGCACAATGCTTGAACAAAGTGATTCACCTTGAACCTTTCAGTGTTCTGGTGTTTGAGAGTATGTGCTGTTTGGTTATTGGCTGCAGTCTGAGTGATTAATGGAAATGTTATACCTTAGATAAGCAGCGCACAGTCTAAATCCTCCCATACAGGGGTTTTCCTCTTGACTTCCTTCCTTCTGCTTAAGGAGGTGAAAACTTTTAACAAAGGAAATGGGAAGACTTTTTAGCTGTTCTTAGGGACAGAAATTGTCTTCTGATATTGTCCTACAAAAAAAGAGACATACTACCATAGAATATGGCTTTGTTCTTGCTGTTTGTTTTTTTTTTTTTTCTCCCAGCTTGCAAATAGTCATTTAGGAGCCAGTTTTACTGTATTATTAAACTGTTTATTGTGTGCATGGGTAAGTGGAATTGTGAAGGTTGTCAGAGGTATGTTGAAAGTACTGTCACCGTGATATCTAAAAGTGTTTAAGTAGTATATGGAAAATTAATATTAACAGTATAACATGAGAACTGAGGTTATATATTTTATAGGAACAAGTTAGATGAGTTTTTTCCAGGAGAAGCAATTGCTTTGGTACTTATAACTGAGTTAATTTGTTTGTATATGTCAAAACCCATTTGCTTTGATGTGCCCACTAAGAGAAGCAGAAAATAAGTTCAGGTTCATATTTGAACAGGTGTCTTTCTGGTGTTCTGTTTCTTTGGAAAAGCAGTTGGAGGATGGCGCTGGAAGTTTAGGCTTGTGTTTGCTGAGTGTGACAGGCTGTGAAATTTGTACATCAGACCTGAGGCTCTCACTTCGAATTTGTTGATATGCTATGGTTTTAAGTAATAGTGCTGTGGACTGAATTAGTGCACGTTTTTATTTTTGTTCTTTCTCAAGTCCAGACAGAGAAATATTTCTTCTGAATACAATCAGGAACCATATTTTTCTTCAGTTGGTGATAATTCATGAATGCCGCTTTGGTTTTTGCCTATGCTGAAATACGTGGTTCAATTTAAAAAGGGGTTGTCAGTGATTGTTTTCCAGAAATATAATTTGCTAGGTGTCTCTGCTTTCCAGTATTGTTTCTGTGTCTGCTTTTGCCCACTGCCAGTGAGACTGAACTGGATTTACGAAAGCCTTGCTTCTGGAGCACACTGTAGGACAGGAGCTGTTGAACTACGTGATACAAGACCTATGACAGGAGAGGCCAGCAGCACATGCGTCAGGAGAAGGGAATAAACTACAGTTCTAATAAATCCCCTGTGTTGCCGTAAAGGAAATTCACTACATCCTATTTAAAGGTTAAGTAAAGTTAGTTTTCAGTTTTGTGAGAAATGGAGAAAGAAATGATAAGGGTAAATGGTTTCTTTCCTCTATCTCAAGCAAACCTACGTGAGGCATTTATTAGTTACACCTTGCTTATTCTTCCCATCTGCCCTTGGTTCTGCTGCACTCTGTCACGCTGCCTCTTACTGGTTTTTTAGGTTGCAGCAAAGTTTCAAGCACATTTACCTCTTAATGTGCACTGTTCCTACGATGTGTTAAATTTATACAGTTGCATAAGAGAGTTTGGTTGACGTGAAGTTAGTATTAGTTTGTATTTTAGGCCTCATTTCTTGGGCAGCTGGTTTGTTGCACTTGACTGTTAGGGCTGTGAGAACAGCAGAGCTCCTCCAGTCCAAAAGTATATTTACTGTGTCTTTTAGAATTCTTTTTTCAGGGTAGTCTGGGCCGAGAAGGAAGGCTTTCTTGGGTGGATTCTTTTACATTACTTTTTAAATGAAGATTTTGGTGATGATGTTTTAGAATATTTGTGAGACGGTTTTTTTTCTTTTTACGTGCCTATTTCCTGTCACACTGTAAACAACTTGGACACGTGTTTTACCTGTCACTACTATTTTTAGGAACTTTTATTTTCAAGAACATGTTTTAAAGGGCAGTATCTAGATATAAGTTACTGATACTGCTTATTTTGCCAAATACAGCAGACCGCCATTCAGACTTTTTTGGCTTGTAGTCTTGACGGAATAGAACACTTTTCATGTGCATTTTATGTTAATATTATTGCAACATTTAATTTTCACTGGTTATAAATTCCTCACCTTCCTTTCCCAAACCCAAACTGAAGTCTATTTAATCACTGTGTGCAAAAGCATATGAGATGCAGGTTTTTGCCAGAATGAATTTTGACTTCAGGTTTCATAGAAAACAGATTCTGTAAACTAGAAGTTACTTTAGTTTTTTTTAATGTAGGCTTTAAGGGGTCTGGCAGGATGTTATAATTTATTCATTATATTTTGTTACAAAACATATAAACTTTGTACAGTAAAGTAGCATGGTGCGTCTTCGTCATCATCATCTTTCTGACAAATGCCTGCAAAGACCTGAATAATAAACTTGATACTTAAAAGGATTATGTCTTTGACCACATGCTTGTGCAAGATTTTTCATTGCTTCCTTGATGAATCATGCAAATGAATGCTAAAATTATTGGGGGGAAAATGCAAATCTGTGGATTCCTCTAACTAGTTACAGGTTACTGATACCTCTGTGGATGTACAGCTGAGTAAGGCAGTTACTCTGTCCTGCTCCTGGCAGACAATTCCAGATAGCACATGAATGTATTTTAATCCATAAAAAAAAATTAATTTCTGTTTGAGCATGAGTTTCAAGAGCATAAACATCTCGCAGATTTTGTTGTTGTTGTTTAGATACTGTAGTAAAACAATCACTAGGTTGTTACTTTTTTTATGTCCCTCCTGCCTCTAGGATCTTGTGTGCTTACTGTTTTTTTCACTACCTGTGAATTTTATTTTTTGCCTGCTTTCTTCTGAAGAACAGGGATCTGGAACTTTTCTTCTCTTAAAGTAATTGTATTATGCTGTATTCTAGCATAGTTCCAGGTCAGAAATTTCTGTTCTTTGTTAATATTCTTGTATATTAAATACTAATTTTTCACCAGAAAACTAATATGCAATTTACACCTTTAATGCAACATAGATAGAGGCTGCAGATAACAGATAATTATTTGGAGACTGCGGGTCTGAGTGTGAAAGAGAAGACAGTAAGTAAACTTCGTGTTTGTTCTTTTTCCCTCTGTACTGAGAAGTTTGTCTTTCAGGGTGTGATGGAAATGGCTGTATGTCAGGATTCTGATGTATCTGAGAAACCTCTAATCTCACTGTAATTAGTCCTGAGACACGCCTGGTGGAAATGCACATACAAATATTCAAGTGACATCTGATGTTTTGCTCATAGTATATTTAATTCATTGCAAGGCTCATCTGTGTGCATGAAGGTGTTCTATTACCTGTTCTAGTGTTATTTCAGCAATCTTAACTGGACTTCAGGTTGATTTATTTGCTGTTAACATGGGAGTACCTTGGCCATTGCTTCAGATACTTTCAAGATAATTTAATTTTCTGCTATTGAGGCAGATGGAATTTGCTTCAATTCTGAGATTGTGTTATGGGCAGATATCTGTCTGCTCTGTATTCTTCCTCCTATTTTTAACCACTTCCTTTCTTTACTATCTTATTTTACAGATTAAAAAAAAGAAAATTTTCTTAAATAAGATTTCATTTACTCTTTTATTAAGAACTTGGGGTAGTTGCACAATTTGGATTTTATTAGCTTGCATGTAGCATTTTAAGTCAGTAGGCTTACAGAGACATAAGGATATAGAAATGCATATCTGCTCATAGGATTGAGTTTTGATCCCAACAGTAATAACCAGCAGCAGCTGAAGTGTTGGAATTAAGTACCTTTCTCTGACTGCCATCTGGTAAAATACTTCTGTAAACTCCATTTCTGTGCTTAATTTCTAAACTGTGTAAAGCATCAGTCACTTCCATATTAATTGCAGAGGAATGGACAAAGTACTGTATCTAAGAGTTCCGTGAAATTAATGTCTTCATACTCTTTCTAGCTTAGGACCTAATTTCACACCGTTTAGGTTGCTTCATGCTTTCGTGTTGACTTCAATGAGTGCAAAGTCAGACTGTAGATGAGTGTTGGAAAATAAAACAATGCTAGCTCTTCTCCTCCTTACGATGGCGTAGTCCTGTTCTGGATTCTTCTCTTCCTGTGAAACCTTGCTGTCTTACTGATGAACCATGTAGCATATTTAATTACATTTGACCCTTTCTGGTACTGTTCAGAGAATTATTATAGACCACTGTACTGTGGACATCTGTAAGTTTCTTCTGTCATAAGCTAGTCTTTGTAGTTGGTGATTAAAGACTAGTTTGAAAGTAGTCTCACTTTTTCCAGTGCTAGAAAATTCCTGCTTTGAGCTTGTTGATCTGTTAAAGCAGGGAGGACGTAATCCGTACTGGTGAGCCTTTGCATGTTGCATTTTGTGTTTACAGTTGTAACTAGGTTAAATTTGTTAACTGCTGCTTTGTTTAGCAGAAAAAGCCGTATGAATGACCCTGTGCCCAAGGGGTTTTGTTGTTTTTTTTTCATTTGAACAGTCTTTTTTTGTGTCCCAACTCTTGTTTGTGGCTCTTAGATTGTGGGGAATGGAAGCGAACAGCAGCTGCAGAGGGAGCTTGAAGACGTGCTGATGGACCCACCCATGGAAGATCAGTCAAGTGACCGGGACCATGGAGAAGAAATTAGAACTGATGGAGATGGGGAAGAACCTGTTGTCCTTGAAGCTTCAGCATCCTCTACCATTAACCCAGTGTCTGTGGCAGGACTCCAGAAACCAGAAATGAATTTGCCAGTGAAACCATCCCAGGGAGGTCAGGAAAAAAAAATGGGGAATGCCTGGTGGTATCTTGTGAGCTAGCCTTTTGTGGGGAAAGGAAGGAGAATTTAAGTACAAGCGTGTCTGCCAGCCTTTCCCCATTTCTCCCATTATAATCGCCTAGTGCAGTAAATGCCAGATTATGTGATGCAAGAGTTAACATACGCTGAACTGTCCTCTCTTCTGAAAACACTTGCTAGACTAGCCTTGAGATGTATGCAGAAATATTATGCTTACTTGGCTGGCTGTATAAAATATTAGTCTGTTTAGCTTGTCTATGCATCTTACTGCTGTAATGAAAATCAGCGCACTCTCACATTTAAAAGAAGCCCTCTGAGTGAACTGGTTGTAGAGCTGGGATAGCTGAGTTGCTCTCTGCTGTCAGTAACTCACTTTCAGGTGGGGTTTTCCTGTAGTATTTTGGCCTGACCTGACTTTCTGTAGTGTGTTTCTTCGTTGCTTTTGTCATTTAGTTAGCGATGAGTCAATCTAATTATTTACTTGTGTATACCTTGTCTTGAGTCTTGCGTTCAACTTTGTCTCACTCTAGACTGTGAGGATTTGAGCCCCTTTACACCTATAACAGATGAGGACAGTGTGGTGTTTAGCAAGCTCACTTACTTAGGCTGTGCCTCTGTGAATGCTCCCCGGAGTGAAGTGGAAGCCCTCAGAATGATGTCCATCTTACGAAGCCAGTGCCAGATTTCTTTAGATGTGACTCTGTCAGTGCCTAATGTCTCCGAAGGAACAGTGAGGTATGAAGCTCACTCAAGTGTATTCTGTGACTGTGTGCGTTTAATCTTACTTCCTTTTAGCCGCGGAAACAAGCTACCAGTTTACCTGGGAGGAGACGTGAGCAACTTGGGATTTTGTTCAGTGGAAAAAGTGGGGTTTAAAGAGATTTGAGAAAAGTGATGCTTTGAATTTGTTTACCAAAGACATTTTATGTCCAAGGATCAGTATGAAATACTATGATGATCCAAGGTGTCCCCAAAGCCACAGTGGGAGTGGTTATTGATGAACACTTTGGAAATAGCCTGGAAGGTAGTTTGTAGGGCTGGAAGACGACTGATACATGAGGTTTAGCAGGCATGAGGCTATCCACTGCAGCATATTAGTGTAGCTTTTTGAAGGCTGAGCCCTGAAAACTGTGGAGAAATTATTGGTGGAAATGTATGTTGCCTTGTACTTTTTTATGCTGTTTATTTAATTTATTTAAATTGAATATAATTATTCTGGTCAAGCTTTGCAGCAAGTGACAGTCAGGAGCTAGTTTCTTTGTGGTGTGCTTTCTCCAGTAGCTATGAAATTGTTAAAGCTTGCAAGTTAATATCTGGCTGAAATAATTCTTCTGAAGGTGCAAGCTTTGTTTTTTTTTCCCTCTCTCTCTCTCTTTTAACAGACTTTTAGATCCTCAGACAAACACAGAAATAGCAAATTATCCAATCTATAAAATCCTTTTCTGTGTACGAGGGCATGATGGAACCCCTGAAAGTGATTGCTTTGCTTTCACTGAAAGCCACTACAATGCAGAACTCTTCAGGATTCACGTCTTCCGATGTGAAATCCAAGAGGCTGTAAGTTGAATCTTTTTGTCAAATGATAATTATGTGCACATAAATGTTATTACTGAAATGAAATTGAGATATTTCAGGCAATTTAGAAGTAATGTAATTCATCACTTTCGGCTTTTTTTCTACCCCAAGTTAAAATAATTATAGAAACCTCACATATGAAAGAAGAATGCACATTTAATAGTTTATCCTTTTAAGAAGCCTAGAAAACCAGTTAATTAGATGCTAAAACTGAATTATTTTCATACAGTTACTTCTCATTCTATTCTTTAGTGAAAATTCAGGGAGGTTTCAACTGCTGCATTCTGTATGTCTGTAGCTTTCTGATCTTCCTTTGGTGCCATCTAAATGCAGGTGAGCCGAATACTGTACAGCTTTGCCACTGCCTTCCGTCGTTCTGCCAAACAAACTCCGCTCTCGGCCATTGCCACTCCACAGACTCCAGACAGTGATATTTTCACCTTCTCCGTGTCGCTGGAAATCAAAGAAGATGATGGGAAAGGTTATTTCAGGTATAGATTCTTCATTCCTGTGCATACAGCATCTGAGTCTGTTGGAAAGTGAGTGAATAGAGAGTGTGAGTCTGAGCTGGTCCTTAAATTCCCTTTTTTGAAGGTTTCCTATTCTAATTTAAATGAATCCCAGACATAGATGTTTTTAGGAAGTAAAACAGTGATGACTCTCTGGACTATTTCATCTTGGTCGTTGAACTCAACCTGGCGCTACCTGCAAAGTCCTTTTTCTGTTTTGTATTTTTCGTTTGTCTTTAAACCCTTTTCTATGCAATGCATTTTAAGGTGTGTTCAACTGAATTGCTGCTGAAGCTGAAAATGTATCATTGTGACTGTGCTCTCATATCCAGAGTTGTGTGCGTTTTTGACCAGGGTTTCAAAGGTACCAAGACTGTGTGAATACTGGAGGAGGCATAAGAGTGCATATTTTTAATAGTCTCATGAAAGAAGGCAGAGAGAATTGGAAACTCTGAAAAATTCAATTTTTAAAAATAATTTTGCTGATCCCAAAAAGATAAGTTACTCTCCAGAGAAATATTCAGCCAAATCTGTTTGTCCCAAAACACATTTAATATCTAGTACCGGGCTATTACTTCTTCATCAGTCGAGAGCTTGATGATCAAGATCTCTGACTTGTTCCCACGTTGCTACTCCAGAACTAAATAAAGGTGTAGTTGGCCATAATGTGTTTTTTTTTGTCTCTAGAGATCTGACTCTGTACGCAATCCGGTGTCAGAAAACAACCATACAACTAAATAAAGGTGTAGTTGGCCATAATGTGGTTTTTTTTGTGTCTAGAGATCTGACTCTGTACGCAACCCAGTGTCAGAAAACAACCATACAGTCATGAATTTCTGATCTGCAAGTGTCTAG